CCGCCGCTGCGCCGCGCGGGGAGGAGGCAGGGCTGAGGCGGTGGAGCAGAGCTTCGCTCGGAGAGGAGCGGCGCGTGGCTGTGTTTCCCGGCTGAGGGACAGCGTAGGGGTGACGGCTGCAGAGGAGGGGGAGGAATACGGTTTGCAGGGGTGTGACCCTGGGCGCTGGGTCGGCTTAACCTGGGGGCGCTCGGCCGCAAGGTGTTGGTGTCGTTACGGTTTGGAAAGCAGCCTGTGGCCCGCTGCTGAAGGGTGGCCCCGGGTAAAATCTTGTGTTGGCAAAACTAGAGGGTGAGCTGGTGCCTGCTGGTGTGCCGGGGGTTTGTGTCGCCCTTCAGCCACCTCTGGCCTTGCCTTTTGCTCACGTGTGGGCTGGCGCTCCTGCCCGACCCGCCGGGACCAAGGCAGAGACCGTGCGTTGGCAGCGGTGTTGTCCTCCCGTGTCTTTGCGGCGGGGTCGCCAGGTACTTGCTTTCAGAGAAGCCCAGGGGGGGTTGGAGTGGCTGCAGACCTCTCAGCGAGCTTTTTTTGGTGGGGAATCCCTTAACTGCTGCGCAAGTGAGCCACCTGAGAACGGCTTTTGTGGCAGATTTGGCTGGGTTTTGGCGTTGGCAGTTACTGGGAGAGATCGGAGGCCGGTACAGGGGTGACTGCGAAGGAAGTGGTCATGGGTGCGGAAGCTGAGGATGATGGTTCCCCTTTCTGGTGGGGCAGAAGTCACAGGGGCTAGGTGACGGGGAAGTACTGCGGCTGTACGTGGACTGAAATAGTCAGGAGCGGTGTAACCGCTTCACCTTAGTTCGTACATTAGTGCCTCTGCTTGCGTTGGGGTGGCTCTCGCCCTAGCGATGAAGTTTGAACAGATCAGACTTTCTGGTGGCACGGCAAAGGTGGTGGCGAGGTAAGAGCAGGCCTGGTGGTCCTTGGGTAGAGTAGTGTGCTGTCCCTTGTGTGGGCTGGCCGTCTGTTGTTGAGGGTGGTACTGTGAACTAGATGGAGCCTTTTTTGTAGGGTTTCACTTAAAACCTGATCCGGGTTATAGCCTTTTTGGGACTAGAAACTTGCTCTTAGAACTGTGTGGTGCGTGTGTACCGGTGTAAAACGGCCCAAGAAGCCAGGAGCTCTGGTCGTTGCCTTTCTAGGAACTCTGAACTTGCCACGTCACGAACTTTTTCAGTCCCTGTCCAGTTTTTTCTTTTTTCCCACTTGATCTACTATTTTAACTGCTCCACTTTGCATGGCTTGCTTTGCGCTGGGACATCTATGGGTGTTGATGGTACATGCCATATCCCTTTTTCCTTGTCGGGCGCCAAGTAAATGCGTTATTAAAAGATAAACACTGGGCTGCTTGCGTTCTGCCAGCCCTGGCAGCGCTGGGCAGGTGAAACACTGGCTGGATGCCCCGCTTGTGTTCATCAGCGCCCGTCCGCTGCGGCAGCCAGCCGGAGGACAAGTCCCTCGGTTCTGAGCTGCACCACGTGGGAATCTTGAGGCCCGCTGCCTCTGTCGAGCAGCTGGCGTTGTCTGGCAGCGCGTCACCGGCTGCAGCGCGTGTTGCCTGTAAGTTGAGTTTTCAGGGGCTGTTTGTGTACGCGTGCTGCGCTTGCGCGGGAGAACATCCTCCAATAAACTCTCCTAGCTTCGTACTGAGCTGCCACTCGTCGGTGTGTAGGAGCTGCTGGTTAGCTTAAACGTTCAGGTGCTCCGAGTCCAGCATCCGTGGCCCTGTGGGCTGGGAGGGAGCTGGTTCTGGGCAGTGCTGCAGACCTGACTGCTGTGGCTGGGATATCTGGCTTGTCGCTCGGTAGCGTGCGCTGCTGCGATTCTGCAATAGCTTGTTGGCAACACAAGGTGACTGTTGTTGTTGTTGTTGTTGTGGTGTTTTTGGCGGTTTTGCTTTGCTATACCAATGCTTTCAAGTCAGCTGCATACTGAGGTGCCTACAGACCTTTCTGTTTGGTCTGCGCGTGTCGAGTGACGCAGGAAAAAAACAGTGGGACTAAGTTGGATAACAGTCTCGTGTCCCTAGCGTGGTCAGGAAAGCAAACTACCCTGTCCCTCGCTGCTGAAGGCCGTGGCTTTCATCGCTTTAGCTGCAGCTGCCGACAGAAAGGCCTGGCTGTGTCTTCTGACGGTCATCTTGCCATTCACAACAGCAAAACGGCTCTAGAGCTGTTCTGGTTCCCAGCTCTGATGTACGGTAGAGGATCAGAAGCCTGAAGGAAGGACAATGGGAAGTGCTTTGCCCAGCTACAGATGTATTTCCCTGTGCGCTGGGGAGAGCAGCGCAGAAGACCCGGCCGTGTGGGAGGTGCAGAAGAGAACTGCTGCTCAAGGCAGTTAAAACTCACTCATCTCACCTTGCTTTAAAGAACCAGGATAACGTCACCAAACATCTCTGAACGTGCTCAGCACTTCCACTGCAGATGGAGGAGCCCGGGGGCTCAGCCTCCAGGCATGCCTGCTTGCCCAGGCGGAGCTTGGGAGCCACCTCCTACAAGAGTAAGAGCCCCATGGTGTACTTGAGTCAAGGGAGGCTCTGCTCTTTGAATGACCTTGGAGCAGTTTTGCTCTCATCCCTTCAACATTAGGGAAACCTCCCTGTGTCTCCTACAGGTAGCTCCTAGAAGAGTTTCACGCCCCGCACGGATTATTGTTTCCTTCCATTCCTTGGCTCCTTTGTGTAGACTCAGAGCAAGTCCGTGATCGAAATCTCAGTTATTTTGGGTTTGGCAGAAGCTGATCCTACAGGGAACGGACGGGGACAAGAAATGTGTTGAGGGCAACTGCTGGAAGGTCAAAAGCAGGACAGAACCTGCTGTCCAGCTTTCCGGAGGCATGGACACCACCCCCTGCGTGAGTGACAACCGCCGGAGGCTTTGTGAGGGGTTCCTGCAGCTGTTGCGTCCCTGCCCTCTCCTGGGAGCGTGTGTGACTAGACCCATGCTAACACTACCTGTACTGTTGTAATATGTTGCGATTTGATCACCATTAAATAATTCCCTTAAACTTACTGTGGCTTGATTGCTTTTATTTTTTTTTTTCTCTTTTTGCTTTACCCATTTTTTTTGAGGCTCACTTTGTTTTCTTTCCTCTTGCGGCCACTCTCCCATCTCCCCGATGATCCAGTGCTGCGCTGTCCTCTGCTCAGCTGTCTCCCGTCACCTTCGTCTTGGTCTTTCTCGCCTTCCCGCGAAGCCTGGCTTGCTCTCTGAGCACGGGCAGGACTTTGCGGTCTTCTGCCTCTTTCTTGGTGTCGAGACACGTATGCTCTCACCAAGCCCAGCGCTGGCCTCGTCTTGGAAGCTGTGATGCAGTAGCGAGCTTCTTGGTGCTTTCCTTTCGTAGCACGCTGCTGCTGACGCTTGATTCGGAGAGCGTGCTGTTACGGGATCAGCTCTGGTGCAAGAGCCTAAGGCGTGTGTGGCGTCGGAGGGAATAAGAGCCATCTTGGCCCCTCAGGGGTCCCCATGACTTGTGACTGACCCTCGTGGCTTACTCTTCAGTTTGGCATCAGAGGCTTTAGTTCTATTGCTGTGTTTCTGCCTCTCAACGTTGACCCCTTTCCTTCCATGTGTGAGGATATTTAGTTTTTATATGGTTAGGTCGAAGCGTCTCGGGGTGAGTGGGGCTTGGATGTGTTTACGGTTCTTGCCCTTTCACGAACAACTGTATTTGTAATGACAGCTCTTTTTATGGGTAAGTTTCTCACAGAGTTGCTCGGCGAGAGATTTATCGGTGAGTTTATCTCGGTGAGTTGCTCGGTCGTATACGCTTGTTCCTTGCCCCCGTCTGTGGGGAAAAGTCATTCAGCTCCCAGTGAGGGAAGCTCTTGCTGGTCTGGAGCTTCTTGTAGGTAGTAGCTGGGTCCACTGAGGCTGCAGAGCAAATTCAGGGTGGAGTTGCAAGGGCTCGGGTTGAAAGGCCAGGTCACGGGGTGTAGGTGCAACTCGACGTTTTGAGTAAGCCAGGAGCTCGTGTGCCTTTGGTCCCTGCAAGTGCTGGTGCCGGCGCTCGGGCTCGGCGCTGCCTTCCTGTCCAGGAGAAACCGCGTTTGTCGGCACTGGAAGTCGAGCTGGCCCTTAGTCTGTCTCCGACAGCGGCCAAAGTAAAAGGCCTGTGTGAGAAGATGGGAACAGGGTGGGCAGCTGTGATGCTTGAGCTGCGCTTGCTTCCAGCTGAGGAGCTGCCTGTGGGGAGGCGTGGGTTCTGTAACCTCTCTGGTTAGCTCCAGTGGACCTCTGTGAAGGTGTCCTCCCTGTCCTTACCTTTGTGTGATCTCTCGTTTATCCATGTTTGATCCTGTCCATGCACAGGAGTTCAGAGGTACTGGTGATGACTGCAGTGTCGGGGGAAGCAGGGCTGCTTGGAGGTGCTCAGCAGGAGCAGTCAGAGGAAACCTGGATGACTTGGAATGGTATCACCAGTTAGAGCTGCTGTTGAAACGGTTGCTGTTACACTTGTAACCTGGGGAACTCCTTGGTGCGTGATGCCTGCAGTAGGGAGTGTTTTTTCCTAAGGTAAACAGGGAGGGAGCAGCTTCCAAAGCCTGCTGGAGGGCGGTCTGTGCCACGGTGCCCCTGCCCTGGTCCGAGCGCCTGTTTTGCTTCACCTCCTTTTGGGTCTTGACAAGAGCGAATTTACGCTCTTCAAAGACCAAAAGTTTTGTAGGGCTTTTTTCTTGCTGGTCTTTGACACTTTCTTTTCAGAAAGCAACCTGATTTTTGTCTTTTTTTTTTTTTTTTTTTTGGGGGGGGTGGGGTGGTGGTTTTTTGAGTTTTTTTTTGTTTGGTTATTGGTTGTTTTTTGTTTTTCAAATGCTGAGTTATGTGACACCCTTCATAAGCTGG